CATTGGTCACAGGCTGCACCATGGCATCCATGACTTCCACCTGGGCGAAGCCGCGAAGAAAGTTGCCCACCAAAGGATCCGAAGCAAAAGGGACCTCCCCCTAATAGCAATGGCCTCCAACATAAGGGCGATGGCCTCCAACCTACTAGCTTCTTTGCTACTAGTAGTAATGGCCTCCAACCTAGTAGGGATGGGGATCTCTAGAACGTTCAAAGCAATTGCATCTCTTAGGCATGCGGCAATCAGCAGTCCCTCTACACATTCTGCATCCCAGGGTACTCGCCATCCTCGACTTGGAGGAACCTGAAACATCATCAGAAATATCTCGTTGAAGTTGTTCGACTGGTCTTTTGAGTCGCAGGCTTTTGCTTTGTCTGCAGCTTCACTTTTTTCAACTGATCGAGACCATACTTGTTGACCTCCAACTGAATCACCAAACCACCAGCCGGAAAACTCCGGCCCGTCCTCGGTCGTAGCATCCCGCCCCAACACAAAGTGTTTTGGGGATTTGAACAGCCTGGCTATTCTTGTTTCTGATATTTTTAGATTGCATTCAAGGCTCTCTACTGTCCCAGAAGTACACGAAAACATTGACCTGAGGCAAGTATGAGGGATGTCAATCTTCAGTCATTCTGCTCCAGAGAGTTTTGAGTCTCACTTCGTTCAGATGTATGCCTTCAGTCATTCCACGTTCATTACTTTTATGATGCAAGGAATCAACGGTGCACCTCGTCCGAGTTCTCCAGTACCTAAGGCAGGGCACCGTCACGCGTCACTGGGTGGTGCAATACTCCCAAGCCTTCTGGTAGGTGGGATATCCGTGATTCACACCTGGAGACTCAAAGCATGTTCTTTGTAAAAAGACCTGATAGACCCCACGAACCCGAATGTGAGATATAAGTGAAAGGAGCGGATTGATATCAGACATGACATGGGACAGCAAATGAAAACCGATCGGATTATTATTCTTGCGTGCACGTTTTGCAACAGCACGGACTCACACAAACGCAGTTTCCACCGAAACCAATCTTGTGGGACACTTTTCGTGAAGGACTCTTGTCGAACACTCTACGACATTTGTGTGAGACATTCTTGTAAGACACTCTGTCGGATATTCGTGTGGGACACTCTTGCGGGACACTCTTGTAATACACTTGCGGAACACTCTTGTAAGACACTCTTGTGGGACACACTCTTGTGGGGCACTCTTGTCGGCCACTCTTGTGGGACGTTCTGGTAGAACACCCTTGTGGGACACTCTCGTGCGAGATGCTCTTGCGGGGCGCTCTTGTGTGTAACGTTTGTGGGACTCTTGTGTGTGTAACCTCTTGCAAGTCTCTTGTGCGACACTCTTGTAGGACACTTGTAACACACTCTTGTGGGACAACTCTGCTAGAACACTCTTGCAAGGCACTCTTGTGGGAAATTGTTCTAAGCATTCGCGCGCAACATTCTCGTCATGGAACACTCTTGTGGGGCAATATTGCGGAAAACTCTTCTGGGACACTCAGGTGCGTTACTCCCTTGTGGGACACTCTTGTCGGACACCCTCGTCTGACAATCTTGTGGCACACCCTTGTAGGGCTACTGCTACCAAGTACTAGTTCAATTGCCACCACCACCGCTGGTGCAACTAACTACTACTACTACTACTACTACTACTACTACTACTACTACTCCTGCTCCTGCTCCTGCTCCTGCTCCTGCTCCTGCTCCTGCTCCTGCTCCTGCTCCTGCTCCTGCT